ACAGCAATTACTTCTCTGCACAATGGCTTCTTCATGCAAATAAAATAGTTGACATTATTTTTCCATAACTACGATACTTCAAGAAACTGTGGACCATAAAAAACTTTTGTAACTTTGTTATATTAATTAATTTACAAAAGAGCTTAAATCTGCATTCGTTTCTGCACCAACATAACGACGTCTACATCTTGCAACATGCATTAAATATAACTAATAGTTGTAGTTACAGAAACTACGTTAACATTGCTATCGTAGTTGTTTGAAATGGTTCGAAGTTAAGAGTCGCGGAAGTGAACTATAATAGAAGAAATTGTTTCAGCATGTTTATAGTTCAGTTCTTTCAGCAACGTGACAAATTTGTTACAGCAATTAAATTCTTACGCTCGCATAACATTGCAGATATCCATGTACCTTTTGGACGAGTGTTTATTTCAACAAGCAACAATATTGTTTTTACCACTACTATACTGCTATAGGGAAGCACATAGAATTTCGATGGGTTTCTCTGGAGGAATGACCATTTTGGTAAAATACAGTGGATGGTCAATCGAAAGGGACAAATTGATAAAAGTCTAAAGGCCGTCGTCGTTGGAGTTGTTTAGTAATGTTTCGATAGTAAGAGTGATGAGCTTCTTCAAAGGTCCTCTTCCATCTCCGAGGCTGGATGTGGACTCCGCCACAAAGGGAGTCGGAAAATTAATTATTAATTATTTATTCGTGAGTTTGTACTGTCAATCGGATACGAATTCGACCTTCAGGCCCAGTTGATGTTCACCAAAGACTGTGGCATTTTAACCATTGCCTGGCATCCTCGTATGCGTCATATTTTTTCGCGAAACGACTTCGCATCTTCAGCGAGACTCTGCTAGCTCGGAAGTTTCTAATTAAACGGCCATTAAAAGTAATTATGAAGCGTGGAGCGTCTGAAATGAACGGACCAACGGAGCAACAGCAACAACAACAACAACCAACAACGGACTGTCAAGTTACTTAGTCTTGTTCGGTTCTGACCTGCGGAGTCACGATTTCAATGCACTTTATAATTAAACAAGTTCGCTAGCGTAATCTTTCCGAATGGTTCTTCTCCGTGGACTGTATGGGTCGATCCGGGACCCGCAAGCCAGCCGGTCACACACCAATTCACTCCCTCATTTAAACCTCATACAATTTTTAAATTCTCTTGAACAATCTTCAAACACAAATGCAATTTAAAGAGGATTGGATATTCGGAATTGATGACCGTTATCTTGGCCCAGGATTGACACTCATCCGAGTCCGTAGATGGAATTGCTTATTCATTGTTTCATCAGCTTCTTTGTTGGGCATCTTTGGGGAATCCCACGACTGAGTCTTCATGAGGGTTTTGGCCAATTAGGCCAGCGAAACTCCGGATATATAGCTGTATCCTGGTTCCTGTATCATGGCCACCACCCATCAGAATATAGAACCCATTTCAATAAATGTTGGCTATGAAAGCCTATATAATCTTTTTCAGAAGTGTTGTTGATGTACTGAACCATTATGAGGCATTTAAAGGAAAACAATTATACTATACAGGAGTTGAGGGGTAAGAGGTAGATCTAGGCAACTACCACTTACTGTTCACAAATAGATGCGTGTCCAACCACAGTTTTTTGGGTAGTACAATTAAAAAGTTAATTCCATGAGAGGCCTTTTTCTCATTGTTGTCAATAAAATGGTTTTGACTATAGATTAGTAGATATAAAAGTTATAGTCATTTCACTGTAAATGAAAATTTGGTCGAACTACTTCAAAAGTTCAAAACGAGTGACTCTTCTTGATGCTTAATCGGACTCTACGACCTGTCTACTGATATCTTCGTGCTATTTTTTCTGAACTAGTGTGCTCTTAAACAAACAGGGAGATTAGATCTGTGTGTTCCCCAGTTGAAGAGAGACGACATGATAACCGGGGACTCGGGCTAGCTTTATTAGGTAACGTGTTCGCATTATACATACGTTTATTGCATTAAGAGCATCGAGCCGCCAACGATCATAGCCATCTATGATACGCTCTCGACACGAACCAATGTCACTGTCGCGAACAATTGCCTGGTATAGAAATAAATTGATGTTCGGCTCTCATTGTTCATGTTTACGCTTTTAATTGTTGGCGACCGAGTGTTGCCGAGTTCATTGTTTAGATACCGTGGCTCATTGTCCAGCCGTGTTTTGGATGCTTCAGCAGCTCCTTCCTCATGTCATTTGTATTATTGGGAATGTGATGGCGTCAGTTTATCGTTGATAGAAGCATAAACGGCATATATGCTAAATGTTTAAAAAATTTCAGATTGCAGGAATATTTTTATACTAAAATTTGTTATGCAGTATTTAAGAATGATAATGAATTTTTTAAAAGATTTTAAATTGGGGAAGCTGGAATTTTACTTTCAATAAATTTCATTTGTGTCTTAACTATAAATTAATGAATGAATTAATAAACAATAGCGATTACAGTTCCAGTGAAAATAAATAGCCATTGAATGAAGTTTAGCTTACATTAGAAATGTTTCAACAAAAGAAGAATGTTCCACGGCTTTATGTGGGAAAGGAACAATTTATCTTAATTTTTATTAAATCATCCTAAATCTCTTCGTACCCTGATTTTCAATTCTTCTGACCTTTTTTTTAATTAAACGTAAACAGTAACTTCTTCGGAACATAAAAAGAGAGAGACAGTAACAGACATGCGTGAGGATATGAGAGAAAGAAAGATAGACACCAGTTAATATAATACGTAGTTGTAATAATTCAGCCAATGTTTTAATTGCTGAAGTATGCGCAAAATGTTGAAACGGGAATCTGAAACTTTTTATTTTAATTAAATAGTTTTCATTTTACACTGTAGGTAGGTATATCAGTTTATACCAAATACGTACGTGTCAGTATGTTCGAGTCATTGAAAAAGTAGGCTCGTATTTGTTTTCGTGGAATAACAGCACAACTGGTGCTCTTTAATTGGTATTGAACATTTCAATTAAAAAAAGTTGGTGCCTCAATGAATCTTTGAATTATTTTGTGTCTATATATAAAAACCAGCGTCATGGGTATACATAAATAATGCTAGATGAGAATGTCCTTTTTAAAGCAGGTTGTTGGTTTTGGGGATTATTTTAATTAATTAATTACTGAAATGTACAAAAACTTTCGTATGCCGATGCATCCGCAGCAACATCAAAATATTGTCTACAGAATGCGGAAAAACGTGGTCGTTTTGTGTGTTCGAGGTTTTTCAATATTCATTTCAGATTTATTAAAGAAAAATCCTGGGAATGATAATTAGAAATCGGAATCTGCATCCTGTGAAAAGAGAAATCGTACGTATGTTGCGGAACTTTTTTAATTCCGAAAACGTCGTTTCCAAAGATACGAATTTTCAGGCAGAATTGCATTCGTCTTGACGGAACTCATTCCGCTATATCATTTCTCATTAGCGGAATTCATACATGCATGTGCATATATATGTAGATGCACACATATATCTCTACGAACGAGTTGCACACAAGTGCTTGGAGGCATCTAGCGGAGGAAATCTCGTTTGCCTTCTTTTTGCTTCAACAACGAACGAACGAACGAACGAACGAACGAACGTAACGATAAAATGTGACTCTGTCTTTCGCTTAGTACCCGAAGCTATAACGTCGGGTTTTATTAAACCTGGCGTGCGCCGCCATATACCCATTCCCGTACCCGTTTCGGTAGTCGTAATAGACGAAAAGTTCCAGGGAAAAGCAAATTACAATATATGTATTTTCATATCTCATCGTCAGAAATATTCTCAGAAAATACACGAGTCTGTAGAAAAGCATCAGCTCGCGCTCTATTACCTACAGCACCACGCTCACAATATTAGCTACGCTAAACATTTGAAATAACGATATTTAAATCCATCTACACGTTTATATCTTCTACTTAGTTTGTAAGTGAAAATGTAGGGGATGTTGTTTCAATTTTTTAAAAATCAAAAATAAATGCATAGTCAATTGTGACTTTTTTTGATATTTATTAGTCTTGCGAAAGGAAAACAGCTAAACTAAAAATTGAAATGGTATTGGGACAACTTTTTGAACATGATTTTGACTGGCTAATTGTATTTTCGTCGATTTATTGTTGTTCCTTCTCGTAACAAATTACTATCTTCCAGCATGTCCTTCTTCATCATAAGGTCGTCAGATTGGTTGGACACGCACCTCCACTCCTTCCTAATCTGAGCTAATCTTCTCATTTCCCTAAAACTAGAACAACCCATATCCTTCTTCTACCTCTAATACGTCTCTAGCTAGACCTTCATGCCTGAGAAGTGTCCTACCAATCTATCTCACTTATTTTGTATTGACTTCCATAGAGTCCTCTGGTCTTCTATTCTTTCTAATACCTCTTCGTTTCTAACCTTCTTTTCCAGCATGTCCTTATCCTAAGAAATTGTTTCAATGCGTAATTCATAAAGCACTGCATTTTGGTAAAACATTCCTTGAAGATATGTTTCTCATTTAATTGCCTAACCGAAATCTTCAATTAAAAAGTGATTTTAACATACTCCATTTGAATAGAAGTACACCAGGTTGCATATACGTATATATATATTGTATTGCATTGTTGGTAGCATATGTACATCATGAAAATGTCGCCGAAATTAAAGTGTAATTGCTGAGCCCTTCTATTTCTAGTCAGCTAGTGTATACACATAATACATGCTTCTATACCGAATAATATTTAAATTTGTAAAATTAGAATCTCCAAGAGGAGACGATGCAGTCGCCTTGAGCGCCTGGAGCATACATGCTACGGCTGGCGCTAACACGGGGTGGCTGTCTCCGTTCTTGTTTCCCCTTTTGGTATTCGGAGCTGGCCGCAGTGCCGTTATGTTTCCAGGAAAATGAAGACCGGCGCGTTATTGAAATGCAAACTTTAATGAAGTTTTTAATCCGTCCTAGAGCGTACTAGAGATTAATGTTTGATTTTGTTCTTTCCTTTTTGCAGTTCTCGAACGACGGCCCGAACGGCGAATCCATGTGCCTCCAGGGACCGGATTGTTTCATGGTAAGTATTCCAGAATTAATGATGCTTATATAATGACGGATGAATATTCTTGCAACTGATCAACCGTTCTAATTAAAAAGCTTTATCCTCAAGATGTTTACTTCTTTCAAACTTCCATCGTTAAATTTAACTTTTAGCAACTAATAAGTATAAGTATGTAAGTTTTGCTCGATCGAATCGAATGACTGCTGATACGAACACGAACCGTTATAAAAAATTTAAAATATGCATATTGAAACGCATAATTTCAAAGGAACGGTAGGTACCGTTGCAGGTTGATTCCTTCAGGAATAATTTACATAAGTTACACGTTCATTTCATAGAACAGGGTTACTTTGTTAAAATTTAAGTTTATGATGTGATGTCTTAATATTCTTCCATGTTGTTAATTATTTATAAGAGGTAGTAATACATCTACGTGATGTAATTTCGAAGCTTGATAATATACAAGGGTGGTCTTATTTGATAGTGTATGTAGGTACATATTTACGTAATGATGGTGTTTTGTAGGAGAAGCTAATAAATAACTAGTTTCATGCAATGGTAATGTAGGTACCTACACCAAAATCAAAGTATGGGGTTTTCGGAATGTCATTTCGTTTTTTTTGTAAAAATGAAAGACAGTTTTCATATAATAAACAAATACTTTATTAAATTATATATTGACCGTTCTGGTCCAACACCTTTTGCCATCTTTCTGGTAGTAGCATAATTCCACGCTCATAAAATTTTTGGTCTTTGCTGGCAAAAAACTGATCGAGGAGGTTTTTGACCTCCTCATTTGAGGTGAAGGTTTTACCGTCTAAAAAATTTTGGAGTGACCGGAACAAATAATAATCCGATGGTGCCAGGTCTGGAGAATATGGTGGGTGTAGCATTGTATCCCATTCAAGCTGTAAAAGCTTTTGGCGAGTGACCAAACTTGTGTGAGGTCTCGCGTTGTCTTGGTGAAACACTACACCTTTCCTGTTGATTAGTTCTGACCTTTTCTGTTGAAGTGCATCATTCAGTTTGTCCAGCTGATGACAGTAGACTTCCGAATTAATCGTTGTGTTATCCGGTAAAAGCTCAAAAAAAACGATTCCTTTAAAATCCCACCAAACAGACAGCATCACCTTTTTTTGGTGAATATCGGCTTTGGAAATGGTTTGAGCCGGTTCATCTTTTTTGCTCCATGACCTCTTGCGTTTGACGTTGTTGTATACAACCCATTTTTCGTCCCCAGTGATGATGCGCTTCAAAAACGGATCATTTTCGTGACGTTTGAGAAGCGAATCGCAGACGTCAATGCGGCGACACAGATTTCTCTCTGTGAGAACATGGGGAACCCATACATCGAGCTTCGAGGATAATCCCAGGCCTTTCAAGTGGTCATAAACTGTTGAATTTGATAAATTTAACCTCAATCCGATCTCACGTGTTGTTATTCGCCGGTTCACATCAACTAATGCCTTTATCGCGTCTTTATCAGCTTCAACCGGCCTTCCCGAACGTGGTGCATCTTCGACATCAAAATTGCCGGATCGAAATTTAGCGAACCAGTTCTGGCACTGGCGTACTGTCAACACACCTTCTCCATACACATCAGTCAATTTCTTTCTGGCTTGAACAGCATTTTTACCCTTTCTGTAGTAAAACAGTAAGATATGTCGAAAATGCTGCTTATCGCTCTCCATATTTAAAAGGGCACCAACCAAAAACTACTGCGTAGAATTAATTGGAATTTTTCACACACAAGCCTTGCTATATGAGCTCTCAAAGCATATAAAAATTATACGGCTTAAATGTGAAGTTGGGTGCAAAAGAATACAATTAAATCCTCTGTCGGGGAAAAACGAAATGACTTTCCGAACAACCCAATAGATTCTTCGAATATTGCATCATCTGGCTGTTTTCGTATTTAGTGTGACCGAACAGATGATTCTCGTACTGTATTTTTAATTAATAGGGAGTCGACGCAATCGACTACGGTAGTGTTGAGATAAAAGAATGTCCCATCAGTACTACAAAAGTAGGTACGTTACATCTTGTAGTATAAAGTATCGTATCAGTAAAAGAGAGAAAGAAGTAAGTAGTAAGTAATCGGGCTGTGGTAGGCAGCATCATCGCCCGGCAGCAGTCGACCTTAACGGTCAAGCCTAAAGTCACAAAAACCCGATCCGATTGTGCTCACAGGTTGACAAGAAAACGTGGTCCCGCGACCGTGAATAATTTCCAAATAAAAAAAAAAGACGAGCGCAGAACTCTCTATATAGATAGCTCGTTGTTGTTGTTGTTGTTGTATACTTATTCTTTCTGACTACGAGAACCGTAGAGCAAGCGAACGCGATCATGAACCGTTGAAGATGGTCGTAATTTTCACCTCTGCTGGCTTCGTTAATGATTTTTCTGTTCTTGAGCTAATGTTTTCTTCGGACGATCGTCGTCGAGGTCGTTGTGGTCGTTCGTGTCGTTTTATTTTTCCGAATTCCCATTTTCTACGGAACGCAAGAATGAGACAGAACGACGAAAGGTGGCCGGAGTAATCGAAGGTGCAATTTGTCGGTCTACCTCGACGATTTTGCTATAATCACCGATTGGAAAAATAATCACCTAGTTCGTTCCAAAAATAATACGTCTCCAAGACCGCACGTTTTACGAAGGGCAGCCAATATGAAGGTTTATCATGCAGAGAACGCGGAGTAATTTAAAAGCCAAAAACCAGAACGAATTTTTATTTTGCTACATCTAACCTACGCTAATTTGTTGTGTTAATAATCCGTGAGAGGTGCATATGAATTTGACTAGTTCGAACAAAATTGAAATTTCATACTCGATTTGTTACGCATTTATATAGGAACAAACAAATTAATTTTTAATTCGCTTTATTTGTGAGCGCTCAGTATATTATTTGAGTTTAAGATGACAAACTAAAGTGCAATCTGGTGACCTAGCGGTCCATTTCAAATAAGTACCTATTATGATGAAAGCCAGTTTTATTCGAACAATAGACATTGTAAACACAATTTACCTGTGACTGTTATATGTTATATTATTGCAGTTCCCGCCTAAACGTCGTCAGCCGGACATTTCCACCGTACCTTTCCCTTTCGTTTGAGTCCTTAACATTTGAAAAAACGTTTCGAAGACACCTATTTTCGTCACCCTCAACTGACAAACAATCAAAAGTAAATTAAATCGTGACCTAGCAGTCAATAAATTCGTTCTTCTGGCGTCCATGACCGATTGTGGTTGTCATTTCGATCTATAGAAATTATGTGCGTTGTTCAACTTTGTCTGTATCCATGCAGACGTGAAAGTTAGTGGTGGCTATTCAGGTGAAGTCTCTTGACTTATTTTCTGAATAGTTTCGAAATTTATTCCTTTAAAATTATTGTGTCTGCTTAAACAGCTTTCTAAAGGTTTAAATAGGCCTTGTAACATCCTTAATATAAGTAATAAGTGTTCGAGTTAAGAGGTAGGCGCGTGGCCGTCATGCCTCTGCTAGTGCGTGAGGGTTACCATGGCACAGTAACATCAGCTGCAAATTTATAGGTCTACCGCTCTGGAAAAGGGAAGAAATTGGAGCAGTCTACTGCACCTGCATGCACTTTTTTGTATGTGCACCCTGGTTGTTGTATTTGCGGTGTTTTTACTTGAGTTTTCAATTATTTATCATTTATTCTTGAGACGCACCGCTACTGTTGAAAGTGTGAGAATTATATATTTTTGTTCTGTTGCTTTCCTGTAAAATTGCACCTGCTCTGTTAATGTACTTTTACTTATTATTGATTTTCAAGTTCCCGATACAATGAACATGATATATACCTATTAAAAAAGAATTAAAAAGGGATCAGGAATAAATAATGTATCCATTTTTTATCGAATTCAGCTTGAAAAAAGTTTATTTAATTTGTTGCAAGCGAAATTAGAAACTGGAAATATAATAATTTCGAAATTTGAACAAAACAAAATTGCATAATAGAAACCAAGAAGATGGTGTGAGCAAACGTACACAATTCATTCTACACTAAAAAGTAGATATGACAAGAAATTATTTTAATTGACAAATTGCCTTAAATTGATAGTAGAAATTAAGGAACATTGATTGATATAAATAAACTGGTAATTTGTTTCTTAAGTGGAAAGAGACTCTTTTTTGTCATTTTATCTGATAGTTAAAGTAACACAAAAATGTGTTATTTATAAGAAAAAGCACATTGTATTCTATTATTTTCGAAGTAGGTACATGAAGTGCACTTTTGTTGAACATCAGTCATTTTTATTGCCCATTTTATGTGACTTAATAGTTTTATCATTTTAAATTTTTGCGGAAATTTCATTCCACTTGAGCAGGTTCACTTGGAAAACAAAACATTTCCTTAAAAATCTCAACTCATATACATAAATATGTACTTTGTTGGGTAAATACATCCGCCGGAATACAGTCGAGCTGCATTAAATGTAGGAAGTTTTACTACGTTTCAAGTCGCTAAAACGGGACAATCTACGTTCGCGTGTTCCATAAAACATTCGGAAGTTTCGCCACATCCCCATAAACCTTTCCGAGACTGGGCATTACAACTCCTCCTCCCTTTTACTACTCGCAAAAGCTCTAGCTTGCTTACGTTAGTTTCGTCCTAACGTGGAGTTAGCGCAGACAGTCCAACGATTCACAATGTACTTTTTGTAGGCTATAAAATGCATCTAAAGGTTTAAACTAAAAATATTTTCAAGCTTCAATAGTTTCTTTGTCAGGTCACTAAGTGCTTATAAGAGAAATATCAAATAACGCAAGTATCTCAATAGAATTTATAAAAACCCTCTGAAGCTTTCGAAGTTTCGATTAATAAATGATGTGTGATGTTTATTGTACTAAATAACATTAACTTGTTTGAAATTTAAAATTGCTTGTTTATTTTTCATCTCCTAAAACAATTTCGAAGCCAATTATTGCCGCAATTAACAACTTATTACAAATATGAAGCATTTTGACAATTAATAGTGGTTAATATCAAATA